CCGATCAATTTCGACACACTCGGGAAGAATTCGGCGTCCGGTGTTCCGTTGCAATCATCGGGAACATGGACGTGTTTCTGTACGATTCAACGATCTGCCGATTGTGCGCGGCGGACAACGGCAACGAGCATCTGTTCGCCAACGAAACAAGCGAGTCGGATTTGTGTTCACTGGTGAATCGTTATCTGCCGCTCAAGGTAGGACGCTGTATCCTTTTTTTAAATGCCGGTTAAATAGACCGCAACTTGATTTCCTACTGCTGATTTTGCTACTGCACTGATCAAATGTTTATCGTATATCGCTCGTTTGATCGTTTGTCAGTTTTTTTCTTTTTGCTCTTTTCTTGTTAAGTGAAACAGTTAATTATTTTTGTATTTTATGCAGTAATCAGGTTCATGCATTGAATATTATGAATATGTTATCCTCATGTTGATATTTAGAGATAAACAGTTATTCTACTAACAGAACGTCTTTTTCACCGTTTTGTATATAAATACTAAATGAAAAGATTTTTAATATAGATTACAAATTATTTGTGTATCTTATGTAATTGTTTATATAATATACCTTTAATTTTAAGATTCGTGATGATGGCAAATTACCACAGACTATTTGTCCGGGCTGTAATATCCAGCTGGAGGCAACTGCACAATTTTTTGACCTGTTGGTGGTTGGTCAGCGCAAGTTACGTGAACTCTGGAAATATCAAGTCGAGCAGCACCGCAGAGCAGAACGCTTACGCAATAAGAAGGAGATTGCAGAGAACGAAACAGATGGAGTGGAAATGGATAATATAACTTCATGCAATGAGGATGAACAGTATGAACAGCAAATCATTATCAAAAGTAATATGATCTTCTTTTTAAGTATATTTTATATCATAAAAGGGTTATATTTTATATAATTTAAACAATTATGTATGAAATTGTGATTTTAGTAATGCCAGATGGATCTATGTATGCAGCAGAGCATGAAATGAGTTTACAAATGGAAGGCTTAACTAAGCCACGGAGAAAACGCGGACGTCCACCCAAAGTTCAAGCAGAGGCCGAATCTTTGGTTTGTAATAAATTTTAATAACTTTTATTATTTTCTGTATTATAGCTTTCTTATTTTTATATGTTTTTTAAAAGACGAAAGAGAATGCGGAAGCTGTGAGTCAAGGTGAGGAAGATAAGCAAGAAGAAGAGGTTGAAGAAGTGGATGGTGATGGTAGACGGAGAAGGAAACGCAAAGTTCCCAAAAGGTATATTGGGATAAAAGCATGCAAATTATTGTCTTTACGATTATTGATAATCGATAAATCTGCACAGGTTTATGGAAGCGGTGCAAGGAAAAGAACTGGAAAGGATATTCAAGGAGGAAGGCGTAATCGATGAGGAAGACGACGATGACTTTGAGATGCTCGACGATTCAGAGGAACCATTAAATGCTTCCATCCAGGATGGTCAGGAAGGTACATATAACAAATAAAAATGGAAGAAAGAATTACTCTCTAGATATTTTTATATGTTATGTATATTTTGCAGAAGTAATTGGTCGTCTCGAAACGCAGGAAGGTAAAAACTTGGGTGAAGTGGTAATCATGAATCGTGGAAGAGCACGATCAAAATCGAAACTTCGTCGTCGAAAAAACAAATTTACATGTCAGCTCTGTGGTAGAAATTTTCTACAACGCAGCAGATATATAGTACACAAGTAAATGTTATTTTCTACATACATAGATTTCGAATTTTAAAACTTGAGAAAATTATTTGATTTCTGAGAACTTAATCTGATATCTTGATTTTCTTTCCGATTCTGCAATTTTTGAATTTTATATATGTAAAATGTATTTTTATATTCAAGAGAATTTGGTCAGAATTTTAAGTCTTAAAATAATAATATTTTTTATGTAGACGCGCCTACGATTAACACGACTACACTAAAGATTTTCATTTAACGCTGATCGGAAAGACATGACAGAAAAAGTCGGAGGTTGATTTATAAAAATAAAATATTTAATTTAAAATAATCATATTTAATAGATTTACCGCTTTTTCTCAATTTGCAGAAGTTTCCATAAGGACAACAAGTACGAGTGCATACAATGTAAGACGCATTTTAATAGTAAAGAGAACCTAGAATTACATCAAAAGACGACTCATCATAATTCAAATCTTGCTGAAGAAAATACCGAGGTACAAGACACCGAACTCGAGAGATTAGAGACGCACAGTGCGGAACAGGATGCCACTACAACAACAATGAAAGAAGATTCCAACAATGCGATTTATATGTGCGAAAGATGCGACAAACATTTCGAATTGAAACAGGAGTATGAACTGCACATGAGAGTGGTGCATGAACTACAGAAATTTACGTGCAACGTTTGCAACAAGGATTTCACAAATCAATCGAATTTGAAAACGCACATGACCACACATAAGGTTTGCATTTTATGATTTACACAATGAAACGATAATAATATAATTTAATAATTATTCAAGCAACACAAATTATTTTTAATTTTTATGTACTTTCCCACACACTCTTTAAACCTTATTCACGTTGCAGGAAACTAAACCAAACAAGGAATTTCCCTGTGATATTTGTGGCAAGGTATTAAACCATCCCAGTTCCGTTGTGTATCATAAGGAAGCTGAGCACAACAATGGACGTCGTTTTGTTTGCAACAAATGTAACAGAAGTTTCAAGCACAAGCAATTGCTTCAGCGGCATCAGTTAGTACACTCGGATGACCGGCCGTTCATTTGTAAGTCCTGCAATGCCAGCTTCAAGACAAAGGCGAATCTGATTAATCATCAGTCCACTCATACGGGCGAGAAGAAGTATTTCTGCGAGCGTTGCAACCAACAGTTTGCACACAAGACTAGTCTCACATTGCATCAAAGGTTAGGTTTCAACTAAATCAAGATTTTTATCAAGATTTTAATAGCGTAAAATCAATTTTATATCTTGTAAATGGATCGTCTTTCAGATGGCATGACGGTGAAAAGCCGTACAAATGTGATGTGTGCCACAAGAGCTTTTCGCAGAATGGCAATTTACAGGAACATATGCGCATCCACACCGGCGAAAAGCCGTATTCCTGTGACTTCTGTGGCCGAAAATTCACCACGTCATCGCAATTTAGGCTGCATGTGAAACGGCATACTGGCGAACGGCCGTGGAAATGCGAGTTTTGCGCGAAATGCTTTCTGCACAAGGATACGTGGAAATGTCATGTGCGCCGGCACAAAGGTGAACGTCCGTTTCAATGCACCCACTGCAATCGCGGATTTACAGAGCAATGGGCGCTGAAGAAACATCTTCGTTTACACACTGGTAAATGTGACTTATGTGATGTACACGAGAACGTAAAGATCATAGAGATGTGAACACTTTTTTTTATTTACAACTTTAATTTCTTTACAATTAAAAAGAGAAAAGTTCTCCGAGAAGGGTATGCATACAGATGAAAATCTCATTCCAAGTCATTGTAATTATTTCATTTTTTTCGCAGGTGAGAAGCCTTATTCCTGCGATCTATGCGGCAAGGCTTTCGCCGATTGCTCAAATCTGACGAAGCACAAAAAGGTATTGTAGCGATTTCATTCTTTTAGATTCTTCTCGATCGCTAATCTCAATTGTCTAGTAATTACTAATAATAATCAATTTCTGCAGGTGCACAGGGAGAATAAGGTACTAACCGTAGACGGCTCGGAAGAATCTCCGATCGGTGAAGTGTGGCAAATCCTGCCAAACTCGCAGGAGAATGACGAACAGTCGGTGCTCAATGAACAAATGACGCAAGTGATTGCCACTGATGAAGTGTCTACTGATGGGATTCAACAAATCTACTACGTGTCCTATCAGGATCCTAATAATCCTAGTGAATCGCGAACGTTGCACTTCCGTATGCATTCAATTATATTAATTTGATAATTATACATATTAATTTATCACATACATTAATTGATTAATCAATTATTAATTTGACAAAATGTAGTTGATGCTGGCATGATCAAAAATAAAGACGAGACGAAGACAAATGCGGATTTCTTACCACGTTTGGACGATGAGAACGACGAAATAATTGCCGACAAAATTGTAAATAATACAGCTAGCAATAATGAGGAACAGTCGGAGATAGAACTATCGGAATCAGATTTACAATTACAAGTAAGTAAGATAGAATATTTATAAATGAATATTTGTATCTCTACTGTAACCTTGATTCTTAAATTATGATAAATTTTAAAAGAATAAAATGATTGTCTTAATAATATTCTTGTTCCAAAAAATCTATCATTATTTTCAGATTACCGATGAACATGGAAATCCGATTCAAATATCCATCCAAGAGGCTCGACAGCTTCTCTCTCAAGGACATTTCATCAGCCAATTGAACGACGGTCAGATCATTAGGGTTCACCCTGGAATATTCGCGCAACATCTTCAAGCATTAAATATTCACATCGATGAAGAGGCTGCTGTCGCAGCAGAAAACAGCATTGTTACGCACCCTAACGTGAACAAAGAGGGGATGGAGACGGGGATTCAGGCCGACGCGGAAGCAATCGTTCAAGCCCTTGAGGTAATTCCAAATTTGCAATTTTATGTAAATAATTACAAAATATTTCTTTTTCATAACTCTTCCATTTTTTTAGATCAATAAAATGTTTGATTTATAAATTCTTCTGATTCTCCACAACTTTATATCTCTCTTTATATATTTATTTCTTAAATCTCATAATTAATTTTTTCTTTGTATATTAATTAAATAATAAAATAACATTATAATTCGCGATAAATACGTCAACGAAATGTTTTAATAATATTGTTTAGGACGAGGACACTGATGCCACTGCAGTCGCGACCATCAATCAATTGGAGAATGTCGAACAGACTGGAATCGCAGATGGTGAACAGACAATCGAATTCATGACCCAGGACGGACAAAAAGTTCGCGTCCTGACATCGTATCCCGTCGATCCAATGCGAATCGACCTAACTCCAGAGTACATGACTATTGTATAATAAAAGAAGAAGTAGATATATGTAATCATTGTGATGCGCATTCTGTTTATAAACATCGTCAAATTATTAGTGATTTATACGTGAGGTAAAAGATTTTGAAAGTGCTTGTATAAAAATTTTAATCAAATTTTTGACAAGATTGTATTAATTTTTATACAATCTTACTGCTCTCATTGTAATATATCATTTCTATAAAGTTAATGCGAACCAATATTTAATGCAAATTGATGAAGTATCTCCATCAAGATGTAAAAACCAAATTATTGTAGAACTGTTTGTAAGAAGTGCATACAGATCCTTATAATCTTGGTATTAAGAAACACAAATTAGTGAAACTCAATTGTATATACATTATAGCATATCTTAGGCATATGATATGTGGGGGATGTATTTTATACTTTACTATGTACATACATTTGAGTTATATAATTTTGTACATAATACATTGTTGTATGTTAGATGTAATGAAGAAAGATAAACATTAAAATTTGTTTTAGCACAATATCTTTCATAATAAGATAGAAGAAAACAGAAAATTTGAGTGGAAATATAACAAAAATATAATAAATATAAATATAACTTCGTCCAACGTTATATCGGAACAAAACCTGATAAAATTCTATCTTTTCTCATACACACATCTTTTCTGTAACAATAAATATATTGTACATACAATAGAACTCTACTGTTGATCGATGAAATGCTGTTGTAAAGGGTACTACATTTATTGCTACGTTCTTTATGCACGATTGGTCGATTTTTATAGTGAATATTTATTACATTTGGGATACGTTCAGAAATTTTACCCATAGGATAAAATAGCTTTTGATTGACCAATCAGAATAGAGAAATCTTTGCTCCTTTTGTTTTGATTGGTCAATGGAATACTACTCTACCCTGCGAGTAAGATTTTTGAACGCATCCTTGCAATTCTCTGGAGTGGTAGGGATTTAGCGTATCTCGTAGGTGACTGGTGACAGGTAACATGGAACGCATGGAACAGGTGTGTATGAAACCTCCTTGGCCGGCGTGTTTGGCTGTTCGTGAGAACCTCTTGCCATCCGGCATTCCACACATTCCTATTTTGATCGAGGATATTCCTCGATACGTATCTCTATCCAACTACGAGGAGAATTATATAAAAAGCGTGCAGACGATCGGTGAGATTCTTCCCGGCGCGGCACGAATTGTCCAATTGCAGAGTATTTCGTCTGATAGCGAAGCAAAAGTTCTCCTTAGCTTGGAGAGACTTCCCGTGGATGCCGTCTATTTTAAGGACAGCAAGGGACGGCATATACCTATATGGGTAAAGCGATTAATTTTCCAGAAAGCTTGTTTTTTTTTTTTTTTTTTTTTTAAAAAATTTTTTTTTTTTAGCAAATAGGTCATACATATATTTCATTCCTTTTTTTGTATATATTATTCTTTTCAATGTAATCTTTTGTTTGTTAATTTACAATATTATTGTGTAATAAAAACGTATTGTTTAAGTAAAAGCTGCTTTAGACAATCCATAATTTGGGACAAAACTTTTTGACAGAATTTCATTCATAATTTATGTTGTGTATAATACAAAAAACATTGAAGTAAGATACATACATGTACAAAATACATATATTATTTTAGAATAGCATATAAAATTAGAAATAATGTTCTATTGAATTTTGCCATAAATTATAGATTGTCTAAAGTAATTTTTATAAGAAAAGTTCTGAATTAAGTTTTTGACAATGATACATTTGCAGGAAAAATCTCGTATTTTTAAAGTTTTTGGAACATTGGAATGGAGAGAAAATAAAGCTGTACTAATAGCTTATAAATTGTTGACAATTCAAGATATACGTGGTAGCCTGAATATATTATCATTGTTATCCGCAGCGGTTCGTCCTATGTATTGTCAGTAAGTTTTTATATAAGAGTTGTTCCAATGTTTCAGAATGATGTAGTTTACAAGATAAAAAAAACAAGTAGTAATGAGATGATTGAGATTTAATATTTTTTATACATTAAGTGTTGAAATTTATAGTGTTATATAGTTAGAAAGAATTATCTTTTTTGCAGGTACAAAGAATTGAAATAGAGTGAGAGCAAATATTTATTACAAATATTTAGCACATGTTTAAATGAATCTTTTATTTATCTGTCTTTGCGTTTTGGATGTTAAAAGCCTCTTTAATAACATTGTTATTGAAGCAAAACATGAGTGTATTCACACAGTGCTTAAATCCTCTCACTGGTCTTGCCACATGGGAGAAGAAAGATCAAGATTATGATTATCATCAAGAAGTAGCTAGGTCTTCCTTTGCAGACATGCTACATGATCATGAGCGAGTAAGTATTTTTTTATTATTGCTTTACATTCTTAAAATTGAATGACATATACATTAATTCTAAACTAGCAGAAGTAAAGTATTCTTCTTATTCATATTTTTCTTTGCCAGAATAAGAAATATTGTATCGCTCTCAAAGCTGCTATCGAGAAGAAGCACCAAGCGGGTGAAGAGGCTAATGTGCTCGACATAGGCACTGGGACCGGATTGCTATCGATGATGGCTGTAAGATGTGGAGCAGACACTGTAACAGCGTGTGAGGTAAAAAATAATTTGACATTTTCTCCGAAGTTTTGCCTATATAAAGGATCTCATTGTAGGCTTTCATACCGATGGCCAATTGTGCTGCAAAAGTAATAAAGGAGAACGGTTTCGAGAATAGAATTAAGTTGGTTCGTAAACATTCTACGAAAATAACAGTCGGAAAAGACGGTGATATGCCAAAACGAGCGAATATTCTAGTCACTGAAGTCTTCGACACAGAACTGATTGGCGAAGGAGCGTTATCAACGTTTCGACATGCTCACAAAGTTCTTCTCGAGGTAATGCTCAAGCGATTAGTGATTGTACATAACTTTGTTGCTTCGAGATCCATACTCATTTTGCATTTTTATATCAGGAAGGTAGCATAGTCGTGCCACACAGTGGAACAATATGGGCACAAGTAGTCGAGAGTTCAAAAGTCTGTGGTTGGAATCGAGTGAAGCCTATTAAAAATGGAGAAATGCTGGTTGATGCTCCAGCAGCTATTCAAGCATGCTCTGGTGCTGCAGCGGTACATGACATGCAACTGTCTCGTCTCCCTCGCAACACTTTTGTGCCTTTATTGCCGCCACAGCCTATTTTCAGGTGAAGATTTTCTCCTCTTTTTTGAATTTTCATTTTTCTAAAAACTCAATACTGTATTTAAATATAAAGTTATATATTAGTAATGAATAGTGTGTACAAATTAAATTCTTATATTAATTTTCTGCTATATTAATATAGAAAATGTGTTTCAGGTTTAACTGGTCCGGCAAGGAGCCCTTATTGTACAATGAAAAAGTATCATTGCGCGTAAAATCGATAGCAAGTGGAACCGCGCATGCAATTTTTATGTGGTGGGATCTGAACATGGATACAGATAATCAAGTAAAATGAACTTGCTTGATATATTATTCATATCATTTTCTTTTCTATTCATTTTTGTAATTTATATATTTTGTACAATTTTCGTAGGTATTACTGAGTTGTGCACCTGTATGGGAACATCCAAACGTATCTGACGACATCAAGGAAGATAAATTACGTTTAGAAGAGGCGGCAGAGTCGATACCTTGGAGGGATCATTGGATGCAGGCTGTCTATTATCTCCCGGAAGAAATACCTATTATACGCGGCGTCGAAGTCAATCTTATCGGTTACCATGACGAATATTCTTTCTGGTTTAAATTGTTGAATGGACCTATGTAAGTTTCCATTTCTTTCGTAATATTTAAATTGCCTTTTGTATCTTTGTGTTCTCCATAAAATACATTCTTTTATTTTTCTTATCTCCTAAATTATTATTATTAATTTTTATTTGATCTTTTTTATTAATCTGAAAAAACAATCTTCTAATTCAATCTTTACTGTATATTAAATAAAAAAAGAAAATTTTTTTCACAGAGATAAGATTCCGGATTTTCCGAGGCCTATATGTGACTGTAACGCGCATATCGCGTACTCACGGACGCGTATCGGTCAATTGAACAATATGATTCGTAATAAGAAGTATGTACAGGCCTTGCGGAAGAAGATTACTTCCAATAGCGTCTGTCTCTGCCTCTCGGACGGTTGCTTACTGGCTCTCGCGGCCGCGAAGATGGGAGCGAAGGTATTTCTGCTGGAACAGAACTCCCTGTCGCAAAAAACCATGGAGATGTTTGTACGGACGAACGGGCTCTCCGAACAGATAAGGATTGTCAAGTCGGTCGACGATCTACCGGGCGCCAGCGAGATCAACTTCATTTTCGGCGAGCCGTACTTCTTGAGCTCTATCGTACCATGGGAAAATCTGATATTCTGGTATCATGCCTCTAGATATCCGCCGAGCATCGCAAGAATGCCGATCGTAGCAACGATCAAGGCTGCCGCCGTCGAGTTCAAGGATCTACATAAAATAAGAGCCCCCGTCGGCATTTGTGAGGGCTTCGACTTGTCCTCCTTCGATAGGCTCGTGCAAGTTCGCAACTATTTATTAGCTTATTCTCTTCTTTCGTACTTTATTCGTGATACTAAAAGAGTAATCGCATTTTATTTTCAGATGTCTAGCGATAAAAGTGACAATCCCGTAGAAGCGCAGCCACTTTGGGAGTATCCTTGCAAGGCATTATCTTCGTCTTTTGATATTGTAGAACTCGATCTTACGCGAAATGTAAATTTCGAGCGCATTGAAGTATCAGGCGAGGTTCCGATTTTAAGGTATGTATCTTTTTTTTTTTTTTTTTTTTCTTTTTAAAAATATAGGTTACGAAGATGTAGAGGAATATGAACGAGAAAAGCGGACGAGCGAGTGATCGAACCAAGAATCGAACCTTTTGCTCTCGTCTGTGACTTTTTCTATTAAACAATTTAGATTCACATTAATGTTCTTTTGCACACTTATATATGATGCTCACTCATAATTACAAAAAAAAAAATATGTTCAGTTGCCAGGATATTTTTAAAAATAAAAAAAATATTAATCTTTTATTAGTGATAACATTTTATGTATTACTCCGGTTTATAGCAACGGCTCCTGCAATGGCGTCGCTGTATGGGTAGATTGGCAATTAGATTCAGATTTGTCGGTATCTTGCGGTCCGATCGAAGAAGTGATACCTGGCAAGCGCATGTCCTGGGATCCATATACAAGACAGGGCGTACATTTATTTCACAAGATATCTGACGTCATGAAAGAAAGAAATGCGCTTTCGTGGTCATTCACTTTCGTTCCACAACATGGTGAAGTGGATTTTGATTTTAGGATATTAACAAATGTTTGATTATATCGATGAGTATTTGATTGTAATTGCATTAATAAATGTTTGGTTGTATTAATGAATGTTTAAAAAATGTATTTGATATGAACATATATCTACAGATATTCTAAATCAATGTAACGAGATATATATATGAAATGTTAAAATCTATCCTAATGTTACGAGGTATTATCTGGTAATATGCGTAATTGTTTGGCGAGTCTCTTGCCGATTAATTTGGGATAATTTTTTTGTTTGATAAGAAATTCCTTACTCTGGTGTGTCACAGCGCCATTTTCTAACTGAAACCTAGAAAGTAAAATAATCTTATTGATAAACTTTGGTACAATTTATGTACAAGATACAAACTAATTATTTTTAAAGTGATTTTTATAATTATGATAATTATGATGTATGTATGTGTACAATGTCATTTTTACGTAAATTAGTAAGTTTCTTGATCAGTTTTTTTCTTTAACCACTAATAAAAAAATCCTAAATTTATTTAATAAGAAAATACTTTATAATTATGGATGCTTAACAAAAGTTTAGTTATACTTGCCTACATAAATAATACAATGGACCCAACATCTTTTCTTTTAATTCGGGATCGCCTTCTAAAATTGAGAGCGCACTTGCACCAGTTTCCAAAGTCGAGAGGCAACCTTCTGTTGGCTGCGTCCTGATCACATATTGACTAGTGGGTACACCAATCAGCTTGCAAGCTCGCAGAAAATATAAAGCCGGGCTCGAGTGATATATTGCCTGCAGGAAAGTAAATATTGAAAACTAATAATTTATTTTACTTAATAAATTTATCTTTTTTTTTTAAACACGATTTTTTTATATTCATCGAAAATCTAAATTACATAATAAATTACATTATTTAATGTGAAATATGTAATTAATGATTTACTTTTGCTTGTGGCCATGTTCCATCCAGCAGAACCAAATTGTATGGCTCTTGTTCATTAATTCCAACTGGATCTAGTGTGTCCAGTGCAATAGCTCCAGGTGATGGATATAGTAAAATAGTATTCTTATCATTTAATATTTCTGGTAGACCTTCGTGCTTAGGCAATGGAAACTTCTTTCCCCTTAAACAAGAATAAAATAATTTCCTGGAATTTTATACAATCGAGATTTGTGTACAGAAAATTTAATTATGATTTGACTAATTATGAGTGCTTTCACCTAAAGATTAGGCACTTTCCTGATTCCAATGCTAATGTGAGCATTGGCACTGTACGCAAGCAACGCTTTGCCTCTGCCGGATGCTGTAGGATTATTATTCTTGATGCTGGATTAAGACGTTGCTTTGGTAAACCTGGGCACCAGCATACTTGTACAGGTCTCCTACAGAAAGACATATATTATCAAAATTAGAAAAATTTTGCTTTTCACAAGCTTCTAAAATTTTAGGATTGCATGGTTTTCAATTTATATGTATGACAACAATATATACATATATTTCCACACTTACTTGCATTGCTGACATTTGTCTCTTGTTTCAGGAGGATCGGCGGGAATGCTCGCTAGTTCGTTCCATACATTATCTTCGTTCGTCATGATAAGTGATTATCAAAAATATCCTTAATATTTTTCAACGATTTTTCATACATTATATCGCGGTTAGTCACGCTTTGTTCACGCGATCGCAGCAAAATATGAAATGTTAGATTTCGATTATCATATATCGATATTTTTTTTGCATAATACATATAATTATCGATAATTATTGATAATAAACTATTTAAATTAAATTAAATATAGAGATTATAACTTATAGGTTATAATTCATAGCTTAAAACACGTTCATCGGAAAAAGTGCTCAGTAGTTATCGTCTTTTTGATGTGTTATCGATGTTGATTTGTTGGTTTTAAAAGTAAGAGCCAATCACGTTGGATTGTGAACGGTTTTCTCCGCTGAACGTGGCCATTGGACTAATTGTGATTTAAGTACGATAGCAACATCATAGATGACGTGTGGCATGACGTTACCGACACCGGTCGGTAAGGTCACGTGATGTAGCGCATGCGGCGCGCGCAGAAGTGACAGATGCTCCGAGTTCCGAGGTTCCGAAGCTTCGAGCTGCGAACTTGTCCGCGATTCGCGTATCTACCTGACATAACCGTCCCGTGCTCCTGTGTGATGTTCTGAATCCTTCCAGTCAGCCTCATCACTCGATCCAGTATATTTCTACAGCATCCGATTACCGTACGTTATTATTAACCGTACTATTAATCCTGTTATTAATCGTATCTTAATCTAACCTAAAGCACAATTGCAACAGAGTCGAGAATTAAATCTCGCTAAATGCATATTTATGATCATTACGAAGTTTCTTACGTCATATTATAGTCGTGTATCAATATATACATCAATTAGCTTTAAAATTTGGAACAGCAAAAATTCGTCCTAACGGTATTGCACGCGCGCGCGCATGAAATGCATACGATATTTTATCGCTAACGAAGTAATACATACGCGCGATGTTAATCGGATTGGAAAATTTTCCTACGTATTCGCGTATGACGTCGTATAAATCAGTATGCGACGAATTTGTGCGCATTGCCAATTCATTCGCGGCGAAAATAATGACTCGCTTGATTTTTTACATTTGCCTAATCCCAGTCATGTCGGAAGAGATCTGGTTGAATTCTGCGGTTTTTTTTTTTTTAGAGATAAAGCATTTAGATGGAATAGCGCGAATGATTCGAGCAAATTTCGTGCATGCTCGGCCGCGACATGGCTATTTAGAGGACGGAGAATTCGGAAGTGACATTCCTTTCGCGGCTTGCAGGGACGTGACACGAATGCTCATCGTACAAAGCATACATGCGAGCAGAAAGTTTAATTTAATCGTTCATTAGATGATTTGTGTGTGTGAAATATTATCGCGTTTAAATATATGTTTTTCTCGCGATATATTTCTAATGAGAATTTTTAATGAGAAACCGGGATAATTCGCTTATAATTTGTCGTATATATATTTATAATCGACTGATTCGGCGATCTCTATATTGTAGATGGCAGCCAACGCACTTGAAGAGAAAATCAACAAGATAAGACAACAGAATGAAGAGATTAGAAGGAGACATGAGGTATGAGTCAAGTGACTAATTAATCAATTATTCTATGTGGGAAATAACGAATTTTGTTGCATAGGAAGTGGAAGAAGATAAAAAAAATGCAGCGAAACTGAATGCATTGGTGCAAATGGTGCCATCTACAGACTGGCCTGAAAGGAAGGAGCCGCCAGAATTTTCTAATCCACCTAGAACAAATAATAAATCAAAACCTGCTAAAGAGCATCACGAACATCCTCAGCAACATCATTCTGTAAGTGGTGAAGGGAGGAAAGTTCATCAGACTTTTGCTCAGGTGTGTGTATGAAACACAGAAATGTTATATTAATTTTTAGACTGTATAATAACAAATCAATTTAATAAATAACTTTATTTATCAATATTTTTTAAATTCGGGAACTTTGGAAGAAAGACTTCTTTAATCTTTTAAATTGTCAATAATTGTTAAATTTGCATTGATGTTTTCTTGCAGGGACAAGGACCTCCACCTGATCCTAAATATAATTTCCTTGCTGATGCTGAGAGAGAAGAAGGCAATATGGAAAATACAAAGGACAATTTGCCAAATAAAGGACAGAAACATTCGAAAGGCAATTTTAAGAAAAAATCTGGAGGAAAGGATGGAATGCAAAAAGTATGTAAAGCCTACAGATAAATTGTAACTAGAGGGGATTATTATATATACATTTTTTAAATTTTACTCATTTCTCAAACAGGATTATAGAATGAACAGAAGTCATCGCAGAGATGAGCATCAGCCGGAATACGAAGCTTGGAGAGCAGAGAGAAATCGTATTGATGAGGATCGCATTAGCAGACAAAGGACAGCTGAGGGTAATTGGCGTAGAGAATGGGATAATGACAAGGTGAAAGCTGCATTATGTAAAAGATCAATTTAACTGTGTAGAAACGATAGATTGTATAAATGTACTTATTACAGGCACATATTGTGAATGAGGTGACGAAATCTGAGGCTAAATTAGGGGATTATGTAAAGAAGGATCATAAAGATTTTGATAGAAGACATTATGTGAACGGTGAGAATTAATAGGCGCTTATATAAGTAGAAATATATACACACACACATAAGAAGAGTTTCAAACTATGTTCTCATTATTGCAAACATACAATTCTTCTTTGCAGGAAATGATTATGCAAGCCATAATCGTAGTGGTTATCGTTCCTATCGAGGAAATTCAAGGCATTTTCATAATAATTATGAAAATCGTTCCAATAACGCGCATCATCAGGAAGGACACGTTAAAAATCCTTTATCGTCCAATTCCGAAGAAAGAACTGTTGTCGCTACCGACAAAAGCATAAAAGTCACATTGAATCCAGGGAAAGGTCCAGTCATGAGCGTCAAAGGTATTATATATATTCTCAATGATATGTTTTTCCTCTTAAATATAAAAAGTATTTAAAGACTTTTCAATATTACCACTTTTCAGTAAACTCGCTAAGTATTGCTGGAACAGGTCGAGTAGGACCACGACAGAGAAGTCGCGTAACATATAGCAGTCATTCGGACGTTGAAGTGGTTTCTCCTGATACTGAATCCTTTTCAAAGTCCTATGATGATAAGACCAAAGGTAATTATCACGATAATTCGCAAAAATTCTCTAATTCGCGAAAATCGCAGCCTCCAAAAAAGAAGGACTTTAGTAATAAATCTCCTTACTTTCGTAAGAAAGAGATTAGGAGAGAAGATGCTAATGAAAATTCACAGGAACATCATGAAATAGAATCGCCGCAAAAAGAACACGAAAAATCACAGAAATTTAATGAATTTAAGCTCCAAAAGCCTGAGGAGAATATAGTCATGCCATTACAAAATGATGAAGTTGTCAATGAAAAAGAAAATAATGTAATTTCTTCTGATGAATTTGATGCGAATACAGAAGTAAAAAGTAAGGATAATCAGAATGACAGTTTAAATTCATACACAGACGAAAAAAGCGAAGCTTTTGCAAACGAAGGAAGTGTGTTT